GTTTCTCCCTTACCATTAATCTTCAAAACATCTCTTTAGCTGCCCACTGAATAAGTCCATCTGGATATCCCCTGGGCCTTTAATCAGATACTAATTTCTGTCAGACTTCACTTAATAAACCCCAATGGATGATCTATTTTGTTTGTGACTAAAATAATGCCCGACACCTAGTAGATAAGTACTCAAATCATGTGTTGAATGAATTAACTTGTCCTCGCCTCTTTGTCTTCACTGCCATGGATGTAATCCAAACCCTCATTATCTTTGAACTGGTTTCTCTGCCTCTAGGCATCCAGCTCCCATTACTGTCCCTCCAGTCCATGCTGTACACTGCCTGCCACAAATTAAATTGTGAACATTTGAAAAAAGAGACCCCAAATTTCCCTGGTTTTTCAAAGTATAGCTTCAATTTACCTCTTTAGCCTATTCTACCCCTTCTTCACTCAAAATTTCCTAGATAGGGGGAACACTTTCTGAAGTATACAACTGTCTAACCACTATACTGTACCAAAACAAAACAATATTGAAAGTAAACTGTAATTAAAATAATAAAAATGCTCAAAAATGTGTCCTATTTTCTCTTTCAGCACATATTTTTAAAATTTCAAATTCTAAGCGTCCGTTGATACATATGAGAAATAATTGACTTTTGTATATTAACCTTGTATCCTGTAACTTTGCTATAATTTTTTCCCTAGTTTCCTAAAGTGGAAGCTTCAATTATTTATTTTAGATCTTTCTTCTTTTCTAGTATATGCACTGCTTCCACTGCATCTTATACATTTTTTAAATTGTATTTTCACTTTCATTTAATTCAATCTTTTTAAAAATTTCTCTTGAAAATTTTTCTTTGACCCATATATTATTTAGAAGCGAACTGTTTAATCTCCAAGTATTTGGGGATTTCCCAGCTATCTTTCTGTTACTGATTTGATGTTTAATTTCATTGTGGTCTGAGAACACACATTGTATGATTTCTATTCTTTTTAATTTGTTAAGGTGTGTTTTACAGCCCAGGATGTGATCTATCTTGTTGATGTTTTATATGAACTTAAGAATGTGTTCTCTGCTGTTGTTAGATGAAGTACATTGTAGTCTATAGATGCAATTATATCCAGTTGATTGATGGTGCTCTTGAGTTCAACCATGTTCTTACCAATTTTCTGCCTGCTGGATGTGTCCATTGCTCTTAGAAGGATTACAAAGTCTCCAAGTATAATAGTGAATATATCTATTTCTCCTTGCAGTTCTATCAGTTTTTGCCTCAGGGATTTTGATGCTGTTTTTAATTGAGCATTTTATTATTCCATTTCTTTCTCCTCTCTTATCAATTGCATTTCTTTTTATAAAATGTACAGCGGTTTCCCTAGAGTTTGCAATATACATTTACAACCAATCTACATGCACATTTAAATAACACTATACTGCACCATACAACAGAATATTCCCAATTCCTTCTTTCTATCATTGCTGTCATTCATTTCACTCATCCATATGCAATAATTATCCAAAATTGTTATTATTTTGAACAAAGTTATATATTAGGCTATCTAAAAATAAGAAAAAATTATTTTACCTTCACTGTTTCTACTCTGAAGCTCTTCTTTTCTACATGTAGACCTGAGTTTCTAACCCATATCATTTTCATTCTCTCTGAAGAACTTCTTTTAATATTTCTTACAAGGCAGATCTCCTAGCAACAAATATCTTCAGTTTTGTTGAGTCTTTATTTCTCCTTCATTTTTGAAGAATAATTTTGCTGTATAAAATTCTTTATTGGAGGGGTTTTTATCACCATCTTAAGTATTTCCACTCTGTTCTTGCTTGCATGGTTTCTGTCCAAATAATCCAATATAATTCTCATCCATGCCTCTCTGTAAGTAAGGTGTTTTACCCTCCATAGCTTAAGATTTTCTCTTCATCTTTGGTTTCTGCAGTTTGAATATGATATGCTTAGGTGTAGATTTTTTGGTATGTAGATTTTTTGGCATCCTAGATCTATATTTTGGTGTCTATCATTAATTTTGGAAAACTGTCAGCACTTACTATTTCAAATATTTCTTCTGTTCCATTCCCTCTCCTTCTGGTATTCCCATTATACCTATGTTGTTACACTTCATATAATTGTCCTATATCTCTTGGATATTCTGTTCCATCTTTTTCTTTAAATATGTTTATTGATTTTAAAGTAAGAGGGAGAGGGAAGAGAGAGACATCAATGTGGGAGAGAAGCATCGATTGGTTGCCTCCTGTAGGCACACCGATCAGGGATTGGAATTGCAACATAGATATGTGCCAAAAATCAACCTTCAAACATTTGGTGTACAGGATGACCCTTCAACTGAGCCACACTGGCCAGGGCTCTTGGTTCCTTCTCGTATGTGCCTAGATGATGGATTGGACTCACAACCCAGGCATGTGACCCATCCAGAATAAAACCCACAACCCTTTGGCTATGAGACAGTGCTCCAACCATCTGAGCCACAATGGCCAGGGCTGTTCCTTCTTTTTTGTTTTCCTATCTGTATTAAGTTTGGGAAGTTTCTCTCTTTTTTTTTAATTTTATAAGAGCTTATTTTGGTTTTATGAACCAATGTCACACCAATAAATTCAATTAAAAATAAAGTTTGAGTCAAGTTTTTGAGGACATGCTCAGAAGCAAGATGTCAACAGAATGAGAATATGTCAGCAGGGATATCCAACCTTTTGGCATCTCTGGGCCACACTGGAATAAGAAAAGTTGTCCTGGGCCACAAATTAAATACACAAACAATAATGAAAACTGATAAGCAAAAAAAAGGTTTTAAGTAAACATACAACTTTTGTGTTAGGCCACATTCATAGCCATCCTGGGCCACATGAGGTCTGTGGGCCATGGGATGGACACCCTGCAAATGGCAGCTCTGAGTTCCTTTTATGCTCTTAGAATCAAAGGAGAAAACAAAAGGTAGGTACATGAAATCCGCTGGTGGTAGATTAAAGAAGCAGGAGAAAGCAAAGTGTGGAAATCTCTAGAACTGAATTAAAAGAGGAAATGGAGAAACTCACACTTCTGTTACAGTGGCAGATAAGGATCGTTATTAACGTCTAACAATACACAGACATGGTGTGGAGTGCTGGTGGCTGGTGAGGTGAGGGAACAAGATAACAATGGTGCATTCTGTGGTCTGGTGCTCTGCTGCTTTTATGCTCTGGTACCTGCAGTTTTGCCTTCAAGAGGTCTGGAAAAGGAAATTACCCTGACATCTCAAAGATACGTTATCTTAGATGTAGGGAAGTTTCTATTCACATATCTTCAAACTCACTGATCTTTCCTCAGGCATATCCAGTCTAATGATGGCTGCTCAAAAGCATCTCCATTTCTGTTGTGGTGATTTTTTGAGTTGTAGCATCACCTTTTAATTCTTAGTTTTCATCTCTCTGCTTATATTACCCACCCATTCTTGAATATTGTCTACTTTTTCCATTAGAGCCTTTAGCAGATCAACAGTTGTTTTAATCCCCTGATCTGATAACTCCAACATCTGTGCCATAGCTGAGTCTGATTATGATGCTTAATCTGTCTCTTCAGATTGTTTTGTCATGCTTTGTAATTTTTTTGGATTAAAGCCAGACATAATGTATCAAGTAATAGAAACTGAGGTAATTTAGGCTTTAGCATAAGGTCTCATATTAACCTGGGTAGGAGTTGTGCTGCACTTAATGTTTGCTACAGCTGTAAGTGGCGTTCTTCTGTATCCTCTATTTCCCTTGTTTTTCTTCTTCGTTGTGTTGTTTCTCTAGGAAATCTTACTTAAAAAGTCTTGAAGCTCTGTCATAACCCATTAACTATGCTCTACAGGGTGAATATTCTATAATCTTATGATTATACCTCTATTTTTAATTTTTTTTTATCCTCAGCTGAGGACCTTGTTTTTCATTGCTTTTCTAGAGAGAGAGGGAGAAACATTGATGAGAGAGAACAGCACTGATTGGTTGCCTCCTGCACGAGACCAGACCAGCAATTAAACCCACAACCTTTTGGTTGCAGGACAACAGTTCCAACCAACTGAATCAGCCACACAGGCCAAGGCTATACCTCGATTTTTTGTTTTTATTTGTTCTGAGTCCCTGGGCTGTGACCTTCAAATGTTTCCTAGCCTTTTTTTCCTCCTCTTGATGTGAGGCAGAAATGCTAACAGAGCCTGGACTTACCTAACTACCTTTTCCCCAGGTCAGATAAGGCTCTGAAGAAGTAGTTTCCCTTATAGCCTTTATCATGGAAAATGATCTGGGTGCTATTTCCAAAGAGTTACTTTCTTCTCCCATGATCTGTGTAAAATACAGAGGAATCCCTGATCTTAATCATGAGAACTTATGTGGTTTCTGAGAGTAAATTCTAGAAAGTATAGAGGTTTCTCCAAGAGTGGGCCACTTGGGGTTTTAACTGTCAAGCTAGTCTACAGTAGGACTCCGGTAATCTGTCAGTTACCATTTCACTGTTCACCTCTGTTACTGGCTCAAGTAAATTCTATTTCTAGAAAGATAATTGCTACTGTGATTCTATTTGCCTGTCTCTCCAGTTTTTGGAGTAGTGCTTTGCTCTGTGACCTCAATTCTGTGGTGTAGCTAATAAAAGCCATTGACTTTCAGTCTCTTCAACTATCTTCATATTGTGTGGAGTGATAATTTGCAAGCTTGTTACGTGCTGGAGCTGAAACTGACAGTCACCCACAAGCTTTTTTGAAAGTCTTTTCCCAATTTCTCTATAAAGTTAGGCTGAAAGAATGCTCTCTGAGGAGCCTTCCTTGATCTTTCTCTGCTAAATGCACCAGTACTTGGTACAACTATATATAAGTATTACACTCATTATCTATTGGCTCAGTGATTATGAATTCCTGGAGAAAAGGCATAATGGCTTATCTTTGCATTTCTAGCATAAGGTAAAATTATCTGCTTAACTGAAAGGAAAAAGGAAGAAAAACCACTGCTCATTAATTAAAAACAAAGTACTACTTTAATTTGGCTCACTTCTCCATTTATTAGAATAACCACATTTGGAGAGTCACAAAGCACTTCAGTTTTACATGACTACAAAGTTATCACAAATCCCAAACTTTTTAGCCACAGATATTTCACTTACTCTGTTTAAAGTAAAAGCTTTCAAAACATCTGAGTTAGCTTGATACACAGAGACCTTGAATATATGGGAACTACATTTTTAAATGTTTGTATGTCCTGCTCTAATAATGTCTTCTTTAAGAGGAATCCAGCATCAAAGGGATTGAAATAGATATGCAAATGTTTTAGAGATAGTGAAATTAATCTGTACCACATGGAAAAGGGTGTAGTTCTACAAGGTGTCACTGAGCCATCTGGGCTTCCATGGCTTGTGCTGTCCATTCTGGTGCTGTCTGACTAATTTTCTCCAAAAGGTTATTCACTTGGAAACAAAGCGATTGGATCTGTTTGTCCCACGTTGGCAGGGCTTCCCGTGCTAAAGAAAAAAGAAATAATGTAAAAAACTGAAATTACTCCTTTGCATTCACAGCAAATATCTTAAAAAATAAATATAGAAATATTACTTTTTTAAAAGTTTACTCCAAAAATATTGGCTAATAAAGTTAAGCTAATAAACTAAAAGCTAAGAAAACTACCTAAATCACTGGCACAAAATGATTTAAAATAAAAAATGTGTACACACAATTATTATTCATGAAAGCAAAATAAAACCAACCAACCAACCTCAACCACCACAATAAAAAGATAGCTTCAGTGAAGCTATCACCAATGACTTGTAAGACACTGCCATCTACTGGGGAAAATAGATCTATTTATATATTCCAGGCTGTCTCAACTTGACTCTCAAAAATAAATTATTTTAATATTTAAACCCAAAGCAAACAAATAACAACTCATCATGAATCAATGATGAAGGAACTGTAAATCTTCATCAAGAACATAAGTAACTTAACATAAAATAACTCGCCCTGGATGGTATGGTTCAGTGGATTGAGCGTCGACCTGTGAACCAGTGTCGCTGGTTCCATTCCCAGTCAGGGCACATGCCTGGGTTGCAAGCCAGGTCCCCAGTAGGGGGTGCTCAAGAGGCAACCACACCTTGATGCTTCTTTCCCTCTGTCTCCCCCTTCCCCTTTCTAAACATAAATAAATAAATAAAATCTTTAAAAAAAATAAGTTCACTGTATTGGTTCTTTTCAATTGATATGTAAATTTAAAGAGATTGCAAAGACAATCCTCCTTTTCTTTGTTTTACTTTCTAAGCAGGACAATATTATAATTTTGAAAATAAAAAACAGTAGCAGAATTTTGGTATATCTATACAATGCAATATTATCCAGGCTTAAAAAGGAATGAACTACTGACTACATGCTACAACATGAATGGAACTTGGAAACATCATGTTAAATGACAGAAGCCAAAGGGTCACATATTGTATTATTCCTATTTTATGAAATATCCAGAATTGGTATATCCACAGAGACAGAATACAGACTAGTGGTTGCCATGGGCTGGAGAGAGGGAGGAATGAGGAGGAACTGCTAAACGGGCATGGGATGTTCTTTTGGAGAGATGAAAATGTTTTGGAACTAGGTAGAGACAGTGGTTACACAACATTGTAAGCATGCTGTGAACCTGAATTGTTTTCACTTTAAAATGATTAATTTTAAGTTATGTGAACTTTAACTTTGATTAAAAAAATAGTAGTGAGAGGTTAAGAGATGTTCTACAAATAGTAAAATTTACTATAACTTTATTACCATAGTCTTAGAAATAAGTAGAATTAAATTGAGTATACAAATAGATCCAAATATGTTATATAGAACCTAACATATGTATCAAAAATCAGAAAAGTATTTTATTTAAAAATGATACTTGCATAATTGGCTATGCATCTTTTAAAAAACAACTAGACCACAGCTTAAAATTATACACAAAAATGAGCTGTAGACAGATTAAATTTCTAAATATAAAACAATAAAGAACAATATTAGAAGAATTTTAGAAAAATATTAGTTTACACCACGGTTTAGGAGACCTTCTTATTCAATATAGGAAACTCAAGTCATAAAATTTAAAATGGACATATTTGGCTACAAAAAATTTTTTTAAATGTGTTTATGGTATGTTATTGCCTTAAAGAAACGCAACTGACAGAACAAGAAAAGTATCTGTAACACATAAAATGAACCCAGTTAAAATTATCATTAAACCAAAAGCTACAGCAAACTGATTTTGGGAGAGGTGTGGGAGGAAGAAAACAGGAAAAAGTAACATCAGTTCACAGAAGAGAAAATACTAATGGCCAATACATGGAATGATATTAAATTTCACCAGTGCCAAAGAAATGCACAATAAAACAAGAATATACTAATTTGCAAAATACAAAAGAGGAATAATATCTAGCTATTGAACATGCCATTCTCTCATACTGGTGGAAGTGTAAATGGCTACATCACTCCAGAAAGCAAATAGCAGCTATTAAGAATCAAAATACATATATCCTTTGACGCAACAAGGGATACAACTTTTTAGACACTGTTCTATAGAACTAAGTGTATCAATATACAAAGATATGCACAAGAAAACCAAGTGAATGCCCATCAACAGATGAATAGTTGAAATCTATGAAATACTATACAAATATTAAAACAAATAAATGAGACTTATATCTACTGATTTAAAAATATGTCCAAGGTACATTAACTTTTAAAAATAATTTGAAAAACATTATTTACTTTAAAATATGATGCAACCTAAAAAAACCTCTATATGTTTTTACTCATCTGTATAAGCATGTAGAAAGACACACAAGACTGTAGACTAATATTAGTTATGTCAGGGAGCTGAGATAGAGGAATGTAAGTAGAAGTAAAAATATTTTATTAACTCATCCTTTATTTATTCTTATAATGCTTTATTTGTTATAATGAGCATATATATCATTGTATTTTTTTAAATCTAAGAAAATTAGAAAAATATTCCATATTCTAACAAGTTGGTATACATTAACTTAAGTTGTCTGTTCACTTGGTGACTGGTTGGAGAGACTGGGGAAAGGAGTGAATACTTCAAAATGTTTGATATAGGAAAGAATTTACAACACTAGGAAAAAAACCAAAAAGACCTGTGTGGTTGGTTGTATTGGAAAGAGGAAGCTATAAAAAAATATAGACAACCTTTTGGAAACTTTGTAGAACTTTGTTCTATAAGCAATGGGAAGCCACTCATTAGAGTGTCAAGAAACAGAGTAACAATTTAATAATTTTTAAAATTTTTTGTTTGCATTTTTAAAAGATCATAATCACTCTACTCTGGCTGTACTAGGTCAACTACATGAGAAAGGAGCAATTATAGATATGAGGAAAAAAGTTAGGAGCTTCTTTTTCTTCATATCTATATCTTTTCTCATATCTTTATTCCTCAAGCCCAAAAGTGGTTATGGGGGTTCAGAATAAGCTGGTGACAGTAAGAAATGAAAGAAAGTTTGTAGGTTCCAGATACACCTAGGAGATGAAATTGAAAGGATTCTAGCCAACAAAGAAGAGGAAAGATGGAGAAGGAATGCCGAAGAAAGTGAATGATGTGGTTTCTGGACGGCTGGTGGGCTGTTTGGTTACTGCGGGAGGCAGGAAGAAAGGAGAGAGAATGAATTCATTTTGGCAGCTGCCCATGATACAATCAGGTATGAAATGCCTGAAAATCAATTAGAACCACTGCATGTGGGACTCAGAAGAGAGATTTACTCTAGAAAAGTATATACAAGTGTTGCCTGCATAGAGATGGTAATTCTATGCAGGCAACAACAATGGGAATAGATGAAACTGACTAGGGAAACTTAGTAGAGTGAGGAGAAAAGGCTGAGAAGCAAGCCCCAAATAGCCTCAATATTTAAATTTAAAGGACTTATAGAATCTACTACAAAGATGACTAGAAAGAATATCTGGAGAAGAAGGAAAGAAATCAGAGGAACGAGATGAAGGACAGGACAAAAATCAAGATGATGGGGGTGGGGGGGAGGTATCAAAAGGGAGTAAATAATCAACTCTATTTAATATGTTTAAAAGTCAAAATGAGCCTAAAAGATAAAAGAATTTCTGTTAAAACCCAAGTATGTTTAAAACTAATGGAAAGAGCCCTGGCTGGTATGGTTCAGTGGACTAAGTACTGACCTGCGAACCAGGGGGTTGCTGGTTTGATTCCCAGTCAGGGCACATGCCTGGATTGCAGGCCAGGTCCCCGGTAGGGAAAGCATGAAAGGCAACCACACATTGATGTTTCCCTCTCTTCCTCCCTTCCTCTCTCTCTAGAAATAAATAAAATCTTAAAGAAAAAAAAACTGATGGAAGGAAGCCAACAGAAAAAGGATGAAAACAAAAAATAACTCCCAAGCTCAGGTTCCTAAAAATGTTTATTTGTAAAATTGTTTAGGAAGGAGGGATAATGGCAGCAGCAGACAAGAAATCCAAAACAAAACACAGGTGGAAAACTAGAAAGGGGCTCTGGCTGGGGTAGCTCAGCGGACTGAGCATTGGCCTGCAAAGCAAAGGGTTGCCAGTTTGATTCCTAGTCAGGGCACATGCCTGGGTTAGGGGTCAGGTCCCCAGTAGGGGTCACTCAAAAGGCAACCATACATTAATGTTTCTCTCCCTCTTTTTCTCCCTCCCTTCCCTTCTGTCTAAAAATAAATAAATAAAAATCTTAAAAAAAAAAAAAAAAGCTGGAGAGGGAAACAAAAACCATCTCCAGGACAACATGAAGGAAGAAAGACAGAATTAGATTTATATTTAACACTTATAAATTTATGAATCTTACGAATCTGATAAAGAAGATAATCTCACACTGACAGCTTTTTTTCTTCTGTGAAATATGAAACAAGGGCATCTGCTGAGATAGAAGGGGAAGCGTCAGAGATTTAAGAAATCTGAAATAATCATTGCAGAGTAGGAAAAAGAACAGACTAAAAAAATGTAACAAGAATCCCAGGTAGTGTTGAAGACCCTTGAGCTTGAATTGGCAATGGTGGTCACTTTGTCTGGTGTTCTGACCCTTCAACATCAGTTAGCTACTTAAGTACAGGCCTGGGAAAGATGATGAATAGGTTCGTTCAAGGTGAAGTTTTGCTGGACAGCCAGAACAGGACAGACAAGTGTTTTGGGCATATGTAAAAGAATAATGAATCAGAATCCAAGCTGGATAGGAAGAACATTAAAGATAAAAAAGGGTTGGGCTAACTGAAAGAAGGTAAAAGAGTCAACAGACAAGAGGCTGCAATCCAGTCAAACAGTGCTGAAGGGCAAGTAACTAAGACAGACCCCTAGAAAGAGAGGAAAATGGTTATTGTCGGAGTGGAATATTTCAAATTAAAATTTTACAAGTGGAATGGTTCTGGGCACAGCAAAGTCCACAATGTAAATGATGTAGGAATATGGGCTGAGGAGGTATTAGAAAATGAGAAAGTAAAGAGATCTACTTACTTACCTACCTCCATTAGTTTAATGAGCTGCTGAATCGGAAATGCAGCTGTCATGCCCACTATATGGCATGTGTTCAATAAATGTTTGATGAGTAAATGAACGAATGAAAATTTTAGTTTTAAATTTTCCCACAGCACAGAAAATGCTGCATAAAACAGGTCTATGAATATAAGTTCACAAAAACTATATTTTAAATTATTTGGGTAATAAGCCTATTCTAATAATAAGATTCTAGGTCAAAGGAAATTGTTCAACATATATTAATCACAAATATACAACACCTCACTGATATTTCATTAGGACAGAAACAAGCAAAACTTCTTACTTTCAAAATGAACTATTCCATCAATCTGATCAATAAATCCATTCATTCGTCCTTCCGTTATCATTTGCGATGCTATCTTTTCTGCCTGTTTAAATAAAAAATAAATTCATTCTCAGACACTTTATTTATCTTTTCTAACACATTCACACTTGATAAGACAACTGAAAGCTCTTGGTTTAGCTAACCATCACTCAGCTTACAAATGTATTTATCTACCATTCATTACAAGAGTAAATCTTAAAAATCTTCCTATTATATCAACCCAATTCTTTCTGGGAACAATCCACTATCATTATTTTAAATTAACTGGTATATATTTTGCTTGTGAGACTTTGAACAAGAACTAGCCCTTTTACCAATTTTTATCTCTGCTTAAAATCAAATTAACAATTTTTTTCTCACTGGGATCCTCACCTCAAAAAAAAAATCCTAGTTTTTCTCATTTTATTTCATTTCAATTTTCACGGCATTTATCACCCAAAAACTCTTTAAGAAAGTAATATTTCTGCCCTGGCTGGTGTGGCTCAGTGGATTGAGTGCTGGCCTGTGAACCAAAGGATTGCAGTTTTGATTCCCAATCAGGGCACATGCCCAGGATGTGGGCCAGGTCCCCAATTAGGGGTGTGTAAGAGGCAACCAATCGATGTTTCTCTCCCTCTCTTTCTCCCTTCCTTTCTCCCTCCCTTCCCCTCTCTCTAAAAGTAAATAAACAAAAAAATATTTTTAAATATTATAAAATTAAGAGAATGTTTTATAAGTGATACTTGAAATACCATCTTAATACTATTGGTACTTTGTCTGGATTTGTACATAGCTAACTAAACCCTTATCGTTACAAAGAATGAAATTAATTCTCTAATAACTCAGTCAACTTTTTAGGTTAAATCAAACACAGAAGTTACAATAGACTAGCCTGGTGTATTACCATAGTTATTTTCTCAAAGAGAAGAAATATTTAACCAATCTAAGGGCAGAAAATAGAAGTAACAAGGCATCTATCAAAATCTTTAGTTAGTCAGAAATCAGAAACCACTATCAAATTTAAAGACTCTAAGCAAGGATATGCTCACAAAATGGGTATCATAATCTGGAAACCTTTTAAGATTTCTATTCTATGTCACTTTATCATAAAATATAAACAAAATCAAAGACAATTCCACTACAGCACTATTTTAACATTCAAATAATTTATTTCCATTTTTCTGAGGCTTTTTATGTGTATTTTTGTTGCAGTTGCCAATATCTAAAAATTATATATTTTATTTTCTCATTACATCAACAGTTTAGTCTCTTCTCTTATTTACTGGAAACAAGAAAATACCTTAGCTGCAGGGATCTCTAAAAGAGCTCCAAGTTCTTCAAAGGTAATATTATTATATAATTTGCTTGCAGACAACAAATTGTGCTCAATCACAGCTCTATCCAAGATGCTAGAACCTTAAATAAATATAAATAAGACAGTCATAAGTTTGAAATTAGTTTTATACTCTTAAAAAATGCATCCCTTTTTCTGAAAATTTCTAAGCAGGTAATAAATCATAATCATTGTCTTTATTCCGATCAAAACTTAATTTTTTTAAGATTTATTTATTTTTAGAGAGAAGAGAAGGGCAAGAGAAAGAGAGGAAGAGGAACATCCATCTGTGAGAGATACATCAATTGCCTGCCTCTTGCACAGCCCCCAAATGGGGACTCAGCCCAAAACCCAGGCACGTGCCCTGACTGGGAATCAAGCCAGAGACCCTTCGGTTCGCAGGTTGGCACTCAATCCACAGAGCTACACCAGCCAGGGCCTATCAAAACATTAAACATAACTCAAGTGCTTTATTTAATACAGCTTGAATAATATGCAATTAAATATAAATAACATATTTGGAAAATGAGTGATTGGCAAGTAATTACTAACCAGCTGAGTGAATTTAACCTTTTGGGTTTGAAGGTCTGCTACCTTAGGCTAGCTAGCAGATTTATAACTTTTCTTGCTATAAGCTAACTCTTATTAGCAAACAGCAGCAAAAACAATCATGCAACCTGTTCTGTAAGCTTAATAAAGTCAATACATATCGCTCATCAGAAATATCTCTATTCTTTTGGGGACTCCATGAGCACCTTATTCTAAAGCAAATGTGAAAAATGTGCAGAATGTAGGAACAAGCTAACCCTTCATGTATAGCATCTTCCCTTAAATGAGGTAATACAGGGCCTGATGAAGTTCTGGACCTAAGGCCCCATCCTGAAGGTGTTAGACTGCTGGGTTCACCCAATTCTTTTTTCTTTCTTTACAGTTTTATTGAGATTTAACTGATATATAACATGGTGTTAGTTTAAGGTATGTAACATAATGAGTTAATATATGTACATGTTGCAAAATGATTACCATAATAATTTTTGGTAAGATTCATCACCTTACCTAGTTACAAAATTTTTTCTTATGATGTGAACTTTTAAAATCTATTCTCTTAGCAACTTTCAAATATAATGACCTAAATGTATGGGAAAACATGAAAGATTTGATATTGTTAAGATAGTAATACTCCCCAAATTGTTCTACAGAGTCAATGTAATCCCTATCAAAAATCCAGCTGGCATCTTTGCAAAAATTGGCATGCTGATCTTAAAATACACATAGAAATTCAAGGGATCAAGAGGAGCAAAAACAATCTTCAAAAAGAACAAAGTTGGAAGACACACTTCTCGATTTTAAAACTTACTACAAAGATATAGCATCCAAGACATTGTGGTTCTGGCATGAGCACAGGCATACAGAATAGTGGAACAGAATTTAGAATCCAGAATAAACTCTCACATTTAGCAACAACTGATTGTCAACAAGTATGCTAAGACAATTCAATGGGAAAGTAATAGTCTTTTCAAAAATGTTGCCCCAATAAACTGGATATCCATATAAAATGAGACCTTATCTTACACCATATATAAAAATTAACTCAAAATGAATCAAAGACCTAATGTAAGAGTTACAACTGGAAAACTTATAGAAGAAAACAGAATCTTCATGTCCTTGGATTAGGCAATGGTTTCTTAGGTACAACACTGAAAGCACAAGCAATAGAAGAAAAAAAAAAACAGATAAGTTAGACTTCAACAAAATTTAAAACTTTTGTGTTTCAAAAGACACCATCAAAAAAGAAAGAACAGAAAATGAGAGAATTGCAAATCATTCATCTGATAAGGATCAGATCTAGAATATATAAAGAATCTTACAATTCAGTAATAAAAGGACAAAAGGCAAATAATCTGAATAGACATTTCTCTAAAGATACACAAAAAGGTGCTCAACATTAGCCCTCACGGAAATGAAAATCAATACTACTTCATACCCAGCAGGATGGGTAATTCAAAAACACAGATAATAACAAGTGTGGGAGAGAATACAAAAAACTGAAACCTGCAGACACTAATGGCAGTAATGTAAAATGGAACAGCCACTTTGGTAAACAGACTGGCAGCTCCTCAAAAGACTAAAGAGTCACCACGACCCCTAACTCTACTCCTAAGTATACACTCAGAAAAATTAAAAACTTATGGCCATACAAAGACTTTTATATGAATGTTCATAGCAGCATTATTAGTAGCCAAAAAAGTAAAAAATAACCTAAATATCTATCAACTGATAAAGAAATAAAATGCGGTATATTCATATAATAGAATACTACTTGGTAATAAAAGGGAATGAAGTACTGATGCATGCTACAATAGATAAGCCTTAAAAACATCATGCTAAATAAAAGAATTCAGTCACAAAAGGCCATGCATATGAGGAGGGACCCAAAAAAATGGAATTATCTTCTGGAGCGGGGCCTCTTGTAGTACAGGCTTCCCCTGCTAAGTGATTGTTGTGGTAATACATCTGTATCAGTGTACCAACTGGCATTGTTGTGAGAGGCTGCGTTCAGCTTCAGTGAATTTTTTTTGAAGACTCTTTCAACACATTTGCCCATTTCATGATGGAGGATTTACAAACTCACCTGCCCACACCATGTGCTGAGTTGAATGTTCAGCACTTTTTGACTAAAAACAGCATGACTCCCATGCCCCCCCCTTCACACAATCTCTGCCAGAACGACTTCATTTTACTTCCTTTTGTTTCCCCGGATGAGAAAGGTCCTCGAAGGGAAATGTTTTGCCCATGTGGAAGAGGTGAAACAAAAAACAACAGAAGCAGTAAAAGGTTATTGAAATTGGCAAGTTCAAAAACTGTTTTGAGCAGTGGGAAAAAATCTCAATAGGTATATTACATTAGATTGAGAGTACTTTGAAGCTGCCTTAAGTTTAAACATGTAAGAATAAATACAAAATTTTTTATAAATAGATTCCATTTTTTGGGGGGACCCTCCCTCACATATATGATTCCATTTATGTTAAATATCCAAAATAGGCAAGTCTATTGAGCAGAAAGTAGATGAGTAGTAATGTTCTACAACTCTGGGAATATACTATGTCTCAAGATTGCTAACCTAAGCCAATACAAAATAATAATGAATGTAAAAAAAAAAAAAAGATTGCTAGCCTAGAGTTGTAATGATGGTAAATAAAAATATCCAAGAAAAATAAAAATAAACAAGAAAAACAACAGGATCTAAAATGAAAAAGAAAAAACCTCTGCCCTATTTCTATAATCCTATGTGACAAATTTGAGAATCATTTTCATTCTCAGAATCTAGTGAGTATCCCTCTTTTTAGAAAAAAATTATGTAACTAATTACATCTTTTTTTTTCTTTTCATAGCTGGAAAGCTCAAAGTCAAATTTGAAGCTCAACTATATCAATTATGGAAACTTTTTCTTATTTATCTAGCTTTTAACTTTTTTGTCAGACATCTTCTTGCAAAAGGAACTTAAAGCTGCCTAAAAGAATGCACAGAAGAGCATTTAAAAGTAAAAAAGAGGTGATGAGCACACACTGCAATATACCAATGATGTATTATAATATTGTACACTTGAAACTTAGCTAATCTTATTAACCAATGTCACCCCAATAAATTTAATAATTTAAAAAACAAGAAATTTAAATTTAAAAAAGAAAAACAAGAGTAGCAACAATCAAAACACACAGTATTTACAGGAGAACAAGTTAATTTTAAGCTTTCTAGCAGCCAACCAAATTAAGAATATCAATCAGTTTATCAACTCACAGTGTCTTTAAATAAGACAAAAATCCAACTGCTCAGGAGAATTACAACTAATCTTAAGAAAGGAACTTTTCCTCAGGATTGCATAAAGAATAACCTATAGAAAAAATATCTCCTTTAGCCAGATAGAAATCAAATGGTTTCCTGCCCTGACTGGTCGAACTTATTAGTTGGGCATCGTTTTGCAAAGTGAAAGGTCACTGGTTCAATTCCCAGTCAGGGCACATGCCTGGGTTGTGGGTTCAGTCCCTGGTGTGGCACACACGAGAGTCAACCAATCAATGTTTCTCAGGTTGATGTTTCTCTCCCTCTCTTCCTCCTTCCCTCCCCTCTCTAAAAATAAATAAATAAAATCTTTAAAAAAAAAAAGTTTATTTGAGCCAAAATGATGACGTATGCCAGGGAGCAAGATATTAAGTGCTCCGACTGGTTTCCTTCTTAAAGTAAAATTAAATGAAAGAAATTCAACAGAAGGTCAATGGAATCTCTTCACCAATCTGGTTTAACTCAGGGAAGTAAGATTGGGTGAAGTGTACACCTTTTAGCCGAATCCTACAAAAATGATTCTTTACAGATAAATTGTCTTCAGTAGGATGAAAGTAAATCCAAAGCAGTGAATCTAACAGATCTGAATGTTTATTTTAATCTTTTCCACATTTCTGATGGTCTATGTCTATATTTTTATCATGTGTTATTGTTATAAGCTACTTTAAAACCTATAAAATAACTGATGTTATTATGAACAAGCATCTATTAAAAATTTCTTTCCTGGTAAACACAGTCTAACTTAAGCAAATACATCCCTTAGTGTGGAAACATGACAACAAGTTCTGTTCTTATTGGAAACAATTTTACCCTGAATAACCTTAGCCAAGCTACTGTGCCAAATTTTGCTATATATCTAAAATTAGACTGGATAATTATTAAGCAAACTAATGTTTAAGATTAATTTAGGTACTTAGCAAATGGTTTGAGTTTTTTTAAAAACCAGGCACAATAAGCCTAGTCTATAACTCTACTTCCCTTACAGTTTCCCAAAAATGCATAATTCTACAAAATGCTTTCCAATAGGGCTATTTTTATACATCAAACCCCTATGAGTGTATGATACTCATCTTCAGTCAATATTCTTTTTTAAAAAAGTGTTAAGTTAAAATGTTACAGAAAAATATCAAGATGCTTAAAATTTAACACACTTTCCACTAGCATGTACCTAAATATTCACTACCACATACTTGTAAGACATGATCATTACCATCAGCTGTAGTTGCTTTCTGGTGAGGCATCAGCATGGCAGCAAATTCCTGAAGTTGATTTCCTCTGATGATCCTATCCAGGTACATTTTCTCTAGGATCCCATAAGCAGCAAGTTGCTGGCACCTTTCATCCTTAAAGAGAGTAGCTAGCATTCGAGAACGCTGTTGTCCTAAGGAAAACAAATGAAAATGAACATCAAATATTCTCACTATTTATTTCATCAATGAAAAACAATCTTTCTTATGACCCCATTTTGCCTACTAAAATAAACAAGTTTCATTATTTGTGGCAGTTTTATAAAGTTGAGGCCAACACTAAATTAGTGAATACTCAACTGCTGTTCCTATAGGAATACAGGGTTAGGTCTCTCTGAACCTCTGGTCACATGTTTGTCAGCTAACCATCGTGCAGCCTTGTTTTATGTTACTCATACCTGACTGACACTTACCTAATACATGTATTTTCTCTAGCAGGCACATCATACACTTTCTTCTCTTCAGAACACAAGGGAGTACTTCAGCACTATACTTAGGGGCCACTTTAAGCATCAAAATCACCATAGAAAAGCACAAAAATGTGAAAAATACGCTACTAACAGCCCACAGAAAGGAACTTTACAGTACGAAAGTGAAACCAAGAAGGTAGAGAGCACTGCCTTATTCAACTCCAGCTGAAAACATACATTGGGATGATTCCAATCTTTTCCTTTTCTGCACATATTTGCAAATGACTACGAAAGCACAAGTGTTGACTCTGGGGTGACAAATTTTAGCAAGTAGGCAAATTCATAAACAGGTAATAATGAGAAACAATGGTATATTCATTTGTGAAGAACAGGATATACACCAAAATCCTACAAGTGGTTCAAATTACAGCTAATTGTTATTTTCTTCTCACTTATTTGTATTTCTACAATGAACATGCATTTCTTTGGTAGGAATAAAATAATTTATACAAGATGAACAAATATTTCTCTAATGGGAAACTTAACATTTATAGGTTCAATTTAGATTTTCAAGGATCTCCATTTTTTTAAAACTTTTATTGACTTTTTAAATTTACTAATTTTAGAGAGAGAGAAGGGGAAGAGAGATAGAGATAGAGATAGATAGAGAGAGAGGAAGAGAAACAATGACTTTGTTGTTCCACTTACTGATGCATTCACTGGTTGCTTCTTATACCCTGATTAGGGATCAAACCTATAACCTTGGCATATTGGGATCACATGCTAACCAACTGAACTACCCATCCAGGGCACAAGGATCTTTAAATGGTGAAAAATTACATGACAACTGATGACATTAAAAAATTGAAAGAGTACAATGAACAAATTTTCTTTTTAAATATATTTTTAGCTCTGTATTCTGAAAGGGCCTAACACCCAGTGGCAATGAGCATATCTAGCACCTTGATCTTGGTATCCCCGTTAAAAGAAACTAGGGATCCTTGAAAAATAGCTGATTTCAAGTCCGAGGCAGGAAGAATACAAGATAACCCTAAAGTGTCTTCTTATGCTGCAATGCAGACAAGTATTCCAAGATTAATGGGGCCATGTCAAAAAGACATTATTTAGTCATATTTGGGACAATTTTGAGCATCAAAAAGGACAGTAATTAAGTAACACACTGAATAAATAAAAATCAAAGTCAAATATACAAAAATGTTCATAGCAGTACTATTCCTAACAGCCAATCAGAAACTACCCAAAGACAATAGGATAAATTGTGGCATATTCACACAATGAAAATGAAGAAACTATACCTATATGTAACAATATGGATAAATTTAATAAAGTTAAGCAAAGGAAACAAGACAAGTATATTATCAGTATAAGATTTCATTTATGTAAATATAAGAAGCAGGTACAACATACATACTGATGATTATGCTTGGAGCTTGGGGGATGTGGCTGGTTGCTAGGAAAAAACATGACAAGAGGCTTTCAGGGTGAAAGGAAGCTAGGAAACAGAATTTTCGTAGTGTCAAAGAAGCACCCCAGAAATTATTTATGAAATACAAAGAGGACAAAGTACTTTTAAAATGGAGCTTTTACTTTAACCAGATGACCAAATTTAGCATCACTCACAGTGGCACAACCTGACATTATGTGCTCTCTAATGTGAGGCAACTGCTCAAGGACACAGCATCACTGTGACGCATGCCTGCTAGAAAAAAAATGTAACTGGAATCTAATCAAATCTTTGGCTAACTTACACTTTAGAGAAAGTAATTGGGATTAAGGAATGAATAAACAATATATATCAAACAAATCTAGAATGAAGAACATTCCACACAACTTCAAAAAATCAGTACTTTTTTTTTAAGTGAGAAAACTATACAATGTTGTATGTTAACTATATTGTATCTCAGTAAACTTGTGTTGAGGGTGAGGAATCTATTCTAGACTAAAAAAATCTGAAGAGTAAAAAGACAATCAGCAAATACCACATGTGAATTTGTTCTTTGTTTAGCAGAAAAAAGGCAGGTGTAAAAGATATTCCTGAGACAACTCGGACAGTGATAGACCAAATGGTAAATTCTACAGTGGAATTGCCACTAATTTTTTTAGGAAAGATAATACTATTATAATCATGTTCAAAAATGTTCTTATTCTTAGAAGATGCATGATAATATATAAGGAAGGGAGGTCATAATGACTCACAAGTAACTTTAAAATGATGTATCAAAAATTTGTGTGAGAGAGAAAATGAACATGACAAAAATTCAGAAAAAACTGGAAAAAGTAATAAAGGGGGAGTATGTCTACTAGATAACAAAACATATTATGAAGCTATAGTAATTCAAAGAACAGAGTACCAGTATGTTCATAAACAGAGAGGCTAATTAAAGAAACAATACTATGTCCAGAAATCTACTATAATGTGCTTCAAATCAATGGGGGGGATGGGGGGGATGGACTGTTCAATAAAGGATGCTAGTTCGAACAACTAGCCTTTTAAGAAAAAAAATTAATTTCCCTATCTCATCCCTTACACTAAAACAAATCCAAATGAATTAGGATTTATAGATAAATTTAAGTAAGAACTAGACAAAACTAATCTATACTAGTGATTACTCTTTAAGGGGCAAGAGCAGGAGGCAGTGACTAGGAGGAAGGATGAAGATAAAAAAATGAAACCCTAAATTTAGTGGCAATTCTCAAAGGGGGTCCTTAAGACCTTTCAAGGGATCAGTGAGATTAACATTTTCTTTGTAACACAAAGACACCCTTTGCGTTTTTTCACTACTTTGACACCTGCACTGCTGGTACAAAGGCAATGGTGGCTAGCTAAAACTACTGGCACCACAGCACCAATCAAGGCAGTGACATGGGTGCCAAAAATATATTGTGTCACACACTCAACAGTCAAAACAGAAATATAGTTTCACTTTAAAGTGTCCTTACAGCAGTAAAAATTTATTTTTATTAAATCTTGATAGTTGAAAACATGTCTTTTTAATATTTGTGTGACGAAACGGAAAATGCACATAAAGCAGTTCTGCTGCAAAAGGAAGTGCAATGGTTGTCCCCAGGAAACACTGCAAGCTGAACTAGTCCTTTTTTTCATGGAACACCATTTACATAAATTAATGACTGACAAGTTACAGCTTTTCAGATGTGGGTATTTGGAAGACATATTCTTAAAAATGAACAAAGTGGGCCTGTCACTATTATCAACAATATTTGTTGTCCCCGATAATATTCAAGTTTTCAGCAAAACAATAGGAATTTTTCAAAACTTCAATCTGCCACCATGAGCTTGAGAGCTTTCCAATAATTAAAGGTTTTTCTGATGAGATTAGTGGTAATATATTTAAATATTTTAATATTGTATAACAAAGTAAGTATATCAATATTTGGAAGCTCTGAGTAACTCAGTAAACCACTATTTTCCAAACAACCAATATATAATGGTACAAAATCTTACATGTGTAAAATATACATTCAAAGTGCAAGACAGACCCTGAGTGGTATGGCTCAGTTGGTTGGGCATCCTCCTGCAAAGTGAAAGGTTGACAGCTCAATTCCCTATCAGGGCACATGCCTGGGTTCTGGGTTCAGTACTGGTTGGGGTGCCTGTGAGAAGCAAATGATTGATGTTTCTCTCTCACATGAATGTTTCTCTCCCTCTTTCCCTCCCTCCCCCCTCTCTAAAAATAAATAAATAAAATCTTTAAAAAAAAAACAGGCAAGACAGACCAAGACTTGATCCTAACAGAGTGCAGTGTTCAGTGTTATGGTTTCAGATGCCACACTACAACTAACCTGTAAGAAACTATACTACATGTCTAGTTAATATAGTATCAAAGAATAATATCCACAATTATCTGAAAAAGCAATTAAATATGCCTATTCTTTCCAACTACATGCCCCAGGCTGGATTTTTTTCATTTACTTCCACTAAAACAACATATGACAAATAGGTTGAGCACAAAAGTTCCTTTAAGAATTCAGTTTTGTCTTTTAAACTGAACATTGAAAAGATTTTTAAAATTAAAACAATTCCATTCTCCTAACATTTTTTGCTCTGGCAAATATGGTTATTTATTAAAATGTGTTATTTCTGTTTATATACAATAGATCTATTATTACTACTTTTAATTAATAAAATACTCTAAATTTCTCATTTCAATTTTTAATACAGTAATCAACAGATATCACCTACATAAACAAAAGCGCTTAAGTGTAAAAAGGGTCCAGCCCAGATGATTTGAGAACCTAAAGTACTGAAAGAAAACATGTGGAAATATAAAATATGTCAATTTCAGAATACGAAAGATTTTTCCAAGCAAGTCAACAAAACCCAGAGACCATAAAAAAAGATTAATATAGTTAACTATATAAAAACTTAAAGTTTCTGCAAGACAAAAATTCCATATACAAAGTCAAAAAAGGGGACAATAAATTGGGAAGAAAAATTGTTAAATTTTGTACATAAATGAAGAGGTTTGTTTTTTTTTTTTAAGATTTTATTTATTTATTTTCAGAGAGAGGGGAAGGGAGGGAGGGAGAAAGAGTGGGAGAGCATTGCTCGATTGCCTCTCGCATGCCCTCAACCAAAGTCCTTGCCCACAATCCAGGCATGTGCACTGATGGGGAATTGAACCGGTGACTTTTTGCTTTGTGGGATGATGCCCAACTCACTGAGCCAAGCTGGTCAGGACTAAATGAAGAGCTTTTATAAGTCACCAAGAAAAGGACAAAAACTCAAAAAAAATTACTAATGGGCATAAACAGTTAATTCACTAAAAAAAATGTTCATCAACAATGATTTTTTAACATGAAATAATGCTCAAAAACATTCAAGGTAAATGAAACACAAATTAAAATTAGGATGAAATACAATCTTTCATCTACCAGATTAGCAAGGATAAATATATTTAGCAATACATGTGTGAGGAATCAGGTACATGTGCACATTGTTGTTTGGAGTATAAATTAAAGGGCAACATAGAATTTCTATCAAATTTTAAATGTATATACCCATGGACTCAAGAATTAACCTATACATTTACTCATATATGTGCACAATCATTATAGCACTGTCTGTAATTGATAGCACTGTTTGTAACTGACTAAATCACAAAAAGCTGAACAATGGAAAATCAAAAAGAATGAACTGATATAGAAACACCACTATGACATATAAGTACACAAACAAGCAAGCTGCAAAAGTGTGTATATCACTTTTACATAGAAGGAAATAAAAGAAACTGATAATTGTTGTTTGGAACAAGATGCAGCACTATTCTATATACTGCCTTTTCAGTAACAAAAATATGATTACTGCTTCATAAAAAAAAAATGTATAGTCTGACCATGTCATTAGGTTCTCAACTAAACATAATTCAAGAATAAACATTCTAAAATGATTTAGAAAAGTCATGGCTTAGAATTATCAGCATTATTCTCAATGCCCTTTCTGTTTTGTAAGTTGAGTGATTTACATGCTATAATTAAAAAAAAAAAAAGAACAGTTCATTATTGACATTTATTGAAAAAGAGGATAAATGCCAAGCCTAAAACTGAGGTTTGAAGATTAAAAATAAATCTCGGCCCTGGCTAGGTAGCTCAGTTGGTTAGAGGATTGTCCTACTACGCCAAGATTGCAGGTTTGATTCCCTAGTCAGGGCACATACAAGAAAAAATAAATGCATAAATAAGTGGAACAAAAAAATTGATCTCTCTCTCTCTAAAATCTTTTTAAAAATCCCTGAATACATTAATTATCCTATCAGCTATCTCTAGATTTTAATTTTTAACCCCTCTGTGTAATTTTCACTTAATTTGGTATCTATTTTTTTCAGTGATATTTTAGGAGAACTAAATGTGACATTATCTCCTAGTTATTTCTAATACTTGTAGGTAATAGAGCATAATTAAAAAAATTTTTAAGTTGGTAATCCTAATTTGCTGTTTCTGTTTAAATGTCTAAACTAAATATACCATAACTGCATTAATAAGACATCCCCTTGCTAAATCCTCTAGTAGTAATAAGCCTAAAATATTAAGCAAATTGTTCATTAAAGTATAAATGACATTTTTACCTGCTGACGCTAAGATGGTACAGTGCAAAGCATGTTTTAAGGCCTCTAGTCTTTCACTTTCATGCACTATTGTCTTGTAAGAGAGCTCGTTGTACCTTTGTGCAGCTTCAATAAATTTTCTTCTGTAATCAAGAACACGCGCATAGCATACCTATAGAAGGGAAAAGGTTTCAATTGGTGGGGGGAATTAAAAAGCAAAAGCAAAAAATAAAGAGAATTTCTAATATATAATAGTATTTATGATGTTCTGGAGCATCTTAGTATAGCAGGATTCTCCAATACAAAATTAATTCCAAATCAGTTTAGCTACTTACCTTGTAATGTATCTGTAACTGTTCATTGGTTGATTCATTCTGAAGCAATGAAGCTCGATTTATGTAAGCCTCTGCCTGGACTGGATCATCATCCTCTAGATATAGCCTAGCAATCTTCAGGTATGTTTCCAGTTTATAATCCACATTGTACTGTCTAGGATATAACAGAAAAAGAAAGAATAACTAATTATTTTATCAAGAAATTATTAGGGGTGGTAAAAAAAGTTATCTCTTCCATATATATTGTGTTAATATAATGAAATCAAAAACTTTTTAATGCATCATATACAAAAACTAAGAAATATATACAAACTAAGTTTTATAGAATTTTTATTATTTTTATCATCATTGTTCATGTTACATTTTATCTTCTAATTTTTAGGTAATCTCACAAGTCAATGATCTTACAAGAAAAATTGCCCAGTTCAGGGATATTTATATATATAACTGATGAGATGATAAGTAAGTACAACCATACTGGGGAAAAAATGGCAATGTGTTCTCTAACCATCCTTTGACTCCTTTAAATTGTACTCCTTTATAGTGGGTACTCTTTACTTACTATACAGGTGGGACAAAAGTAGGTTTACAGTTGTGAGTATGTGAAACACAGAGTTTATTCTTGTGGCCTTATTTAATTATTGTATTATTTTTCCATACAAACAACTTTAAACTTCCTTTTGCCCTACCCTGTGTTTTACCTCTAGAAAATAAATCTCAAATCCCAAGAAAATAATCATGGATGTACACATATATGTATATACAAAGATATTCATTTGTAAAATGAATAAATATCCGTAAGTATCTGTAATAGGAAAAAATGGAAATCACCAATTATATTTATGGTAATCAATTGAGTTGTGGTATGTAAAGATAATAGAATACTATATAGTTATTATAATAATTACTATGTGATAACAGTCATCACATATTTTTTGCAAAGTGAAAAACTGGATAAAACACAATTAAAATATAGTTCTTCACACATATATTAAAATAATAGCAATTATCTCTGGGTGGTGAGATTACAAGTGGTTTTCATTTCTTCTTTATCACACTGCTCATATTTTATGCAGGAAATGCATAACTGAAGACTCTACATAATCCCAAAAAAACACATAATTCAAGATTAATCCTCACAGAAAAATCAATCCTATTTACCAGCAAAAGTCCTGGTAAATGGGATTAATTTAAATAGAGAAGAGAACTACACATTACTCAGTCCTCTTCTCTGTCTATAGTTCCTACCTTAGAAATCTCATCCAATCTAACAGCTTTAAATTCCACCTATATATCAGAAACTCCCAATGCGTATCTCTAGTCCAGACTTTTCTCCTCAACTCCAGACTAATATATTCAACTCCCTACTATATATATTTCCACTTAGTTATCACATGTATGAAACAAAACTCTTGATCTTCCCTTAAAACCTATTCTTCACCACTCAGTAGATGGCAACTCCACTTTTCCAGTTGTTTACACCAAAAATTAGGACTAATCTTGGTTCTTTTTCTTACACTCCATTATCTAGCCATCAGGAAATCCTTATCTCCACCTTACAAACATCCAGAATCCAAAATTTCTCAAAATCTCCATTTCATCTGCAGTAGTGAATAAGGCCTCCTAACTAATGGTCCTATTTCTATCATTGCATGCCTGTAGTTTATTCTCAACTCAGTCATCAGAATAAGTCTTAAAAATATAAGTCAGATGATGTCAGTCTTCTGCAAAAAAAAAAAAAGTTCCAATGGCTCCACCTCATTTTACTTAAAGAAAATCTAAAGGCCTTACACTGACTTACAAGACCTCACATAATCTGGTCTCTAGTACTCTGATCTCATCCTCCACCGCTCTCTCCTTTGTTCATTCCATTCCACCCATAATGGTCTCCATGTTCTTCTTCTTCTTTTTTAAGATTTTATTTATTTATTTTTAGAGGGGAAGGAAGGGAGAGAGGGAGAGAAACATCAACGTGTGGCTGTCTCTTGCGTAGCCTCCACTGGGGACCTGGCCTGCAACCCAGGCATGTGCCCTGACTGGGAATCAAAACTGCAACCCCTTGTTTCATAGGCCCGCTGAGCCATACCAGTAGGCTCCTTGTTGTTCTTAAAACACTCCAAGCATGCTCCCATTTTAGAGCCTTTGCAACAGCCATCTTCTCTAACAGGACCTATAAATACTGTTCCCTCAGAGAGCTCATAGCCACTCCCTTACCTCCTTCAAAACTCTGAGAAGGTGGTATCAGTATCACCCTACCACTCCATCACCCTATTTACTGATAAACCTGTCCCCCACTTTGCCCCTTATTTTTCTCCATAGCCCTTATCACTTTCTAACATATTGCCAACTTTATTTCTTAAATTGTTCATCATCTGTTTCCAACACTAGAACGTAAGAAAAAAACAAAAGCAAACAATTATACATATCCTTTGTATGTGTTGTGTGTATATATCTATATATATGTACAAGTATATAGATATGTGTACCTATACATATATATGCATATGTATTTATACCTATATATAGATATATATAGAGAGATATACATATCCATCCAATATCCACTATTTACTATACTTTTGTCCTGTTTCCAAAGGAATTCCCACCAACACTTGGGCAGCATTTCTCCAATCTTCTTCTTTCTCATATATAGATGCAAGATGCTGTCTTATAGAAGCAACCTGAAATAGTAGGTATACATGTTATATCAACTGACATCAGTTAATTAATTATATAAAATAAGTAAATAAGTTTATCTATTGCAACAATGCTCTAATTCAACATATCAAGCTAGCAAGTATAAACAGTAAAAATTTATCTAGACCACCCAAATTTTTCTATGAATTTTTTAACAGAATAGCAAAAGAGTAAACTGAAGTAACACACTGTTACAATGTGGATTATGGCAATAACTTAGTTTATTTAAGTTTTGCTTTTATGTTACTGAATAGATAATGCTAGAGTTTTCCTGTTATCAGCATTATTAACAATTTAACTGATTTTTTAAAATTATCTATAAAGTAATTTTGATATATGAAATCAAACTGTAACTAATGAGCAAACATCAGCTGGAGTTATACCCTAATATTTATTTTGTTATATATTGTAAAACGCTGTTTAACAGTTTTGACAAAATAAAATTAAATGATTATCTACTTTAAAAATGTAGTATCTCTCTCCCTGGCTGGTATGGCTCAGTGGATTGAGCACCAGACTGCGAACCAAAGTGTCACTGGTTTGATTCCCAGTCAGAATGCATGCCTGAGTTGCGGGCCAGGTCCCCAGTAGAGGGCGCTCAAGTGGCAGCCACACATTGATGTTTCTATCCCTCCCTCCCTTCCCCTCTTTAAAAATAAATACAATCTTCTAAAAAATGAATAAAAATTTAGTATCGCTCAAAATAATTGTTGCTATCTCAAGTTAAAAAATCACTGCTCCAGATATTTACCTGCTCTTCAAATGAAATGACTCTGGGCTGGATCTTTTCCAAGGTGAAATGATAGATTTCTTTGGCTGTGCTATCAGGCAAGTTGGGAAGATGTGTGCAAAAATCGGTCAGCAACTGTCGAGAGATCACGAGGCTGACATTCTCATTTACCACTTATCAAAAAAATAAGATAAAAAAATGAATAATTTATAAATTTTTTATTATACAATCTTTACCTAAAATTAATACTAAAAACAATATATATCAGTGCAACCTATAATGCATTATTTCTGGATTTTCACATACCTATCATCTCATATTACAGAATAAGTTTTCCTTATACCTAATTATTTGATTACATAATAAGAAACACCAAAGTAGCAAAACTATTATAACTTTTCTAAGAAATTGAAATAATTGGCAAAAAAAAAGTTTTAACAGTTGAAAATTTGTATTATTCCTTTCTCTTCTTTATTTTTATACAAAGTAAAGGCACAGAAACACTCATATTTTTATTTATGTCCTTATATCTCATCTAGCTACAGAAAGGAGTTTAAAGAAGAAAACAGTGAAATAATTTCATGAAATTTAAATAAAGCAAGTAGTGACAGTTACTACCACTTACACTTTCCAATAAAAGCAACAAAAACTAAATTAAGTAAGTACTAGATGTACTGGCATATTTTACGACATTATTTATAAACATTTATGAGGTTATTATTATACATGATTAAGAAAGTAAGTTCTGGAGCCACACTGCTTCCACCATTCCCGATTGTACACCCTCAGACAAGAAACTTTCCCATGCTTCTTTTTCCCAATCTATAAAATGTGGACAAGATTGTTGTGAAATTTAAATGCAGTACACATAAAGCACTTTGAACAGTACCTGGCACGTAGCACTCAACAACTGTTATTATTAATACTATTATTACATTTTTTAAATGCATCATGCTTGTGAACCATGCTTAAACTGTCTTAAATTAGCTGTTACTATGAAAACACAATGATGATTCAAAAACTGTTCAGTTGACATAAATGATTTTAACAGAAGAATGTTTTTGTTAATGGTTCTTTGGATTCAAAGTTTACATAAAAGTTAAAGTTTACAAAAAGCACCATTCTTTTGCTACTTCAGTGCAATGTTCTCAATAAAGCCAGTCTTAACACTTTTTCTGAAGCCAGTTCTTCTCACATTGCAAGTCCCAATATTTTTGAGGCAGTAACATACAGGCCTTATAAATAATCAGTTTATATTCATTGGAATTCTTTTTTAAACACTGGTTGTGACCTAGAAAACAATTTCACTGTATGGTCCATTGGACAAATAAGTGTTAGAAAGTAATGACTGCATAAACTAGCACTTCTCAGGGAAATGTAAGTATTATAAATAAAGACTATAAGTCAGAAAAGTTAGTGTCCAGTCAGGGCTCTGCCACTCACTAACTGAATGTCCTTGAGAAAATCTTGAGACTCATTTTACATTATACAAGAATATCGATTATCAATACTATGTAGTCACACAGTTATTAAAAAGAAATGTGTGGGATGGATGTGAAAAGCATACTATAAACTATAAAGTACTATCAAGTATCATTGATACTACTTTTTTTTGTTCTTTTTTTTTTCCCCCTTCTATCTTTGATATTGTTAATTCAGTATCCAATCCAGCCTGGATTTTTTTCCCTTGAAGATTTCTCTCTTTTCTTTTTTTTAAATGTATTTTATTGATTATGCTATTACAGTTGTCTCATTTCGCCACCTTTATCCCCTCCGTCTCGCACACCCTCTCCCCCACTTTAGTTCATGGTCATGGGTTGTACATATAAGGTCTTCAGTTTCTACATTTCCTATACTATTCTTAACCTCCCCCTGTCTATTTTCTACCTACCATTTATTCTTATTCCCTGTACCTTTTTCCTCCTCTCTCACCCTCACTCCCCCATTGATAATCCTCCATTTCTATGATTCTGATTCTGTTCTAGTAGTATGCTTAGCTTGTTTTTGTTTTGTTTAGTTTTTTTTGTTGTTCAGTTGTTAATAGCTGTGAGTTTGTTGTCATTTTACCATTCATAGCTTTGATCTTCTTTTTCTTAGATAATTCCCTGTGGGAGGCCGCTCTGCATGGTGTGGGCCCAGCTCCCACTGGACCCACGACCACAGACAGGTTCTCCTGTGGGGATCAGGCCTGCAATGTGCCTAGGTCGCTTTGAGTCTTGCTTTTTGCTAAAACTCCCTCACCCTAAATTGAGGCAGCAAACATTTACTGCAAAGCAACTTCCTAAAAATCCATGCTAAACCTTCCAAGGATGAGTGTAACTGGTTCAACCACTTTCGCCACTTCATTTGCAAATATCCCTCTTCTGTGATGTGATTAGCAGCATTGGATCCTTTGTCTTCTGTAAAAGGTAACCACCTAAAGCGAATCTGTGCACAGTAAATGAGGACCATAATGTAATGTGCGGGGAAATAGAAATAAAGGCCTGTCATGACGGAGGCGACGGCTGTTGCTCCCCTTGAAAGAAAAGCCATGCTGTCCCTTCCATTTTCCTCCACCGGACTCGGTAGTCCATGTGAATGTCTCATTTCATCCATAATAACACAGACACTGCGGGCCTGCATCAATTCCCTTTAATAATTTCATATAATAAGGGCTTGGTGATGATGAACTCCTTTAACTTGACCTTATCTGAGAAGCACTTTATCTGCCCTTCCATTCTAAACGAAACCTTTGCTGGATAGAGTAATCTTGGATGTAGGTCCTTGCCTTTCATAACTATGAATACTTCTTTCCAACCTCTTCTTGCCTGCAAGGTTTCTTTTGAGAAATCAGCTGATGGTCTAATGGGAATGTCTTTATAAGTAATTCTCTCCTTTTCTCTTGCTGCTTTCAGGATTCTCTCCTTATCTTTAATATTGGGTAATGTAATTATGATGTGTCTTGGTGTGTTCCTCCTTGGGTCCAACTTCTTTGGGACTCTCTGGGCTCCCTGGACTTCCTGGAAGTCTATTTCCTTTGCCAGAATGGGGAAGTTCTCCTTCATTATTTTTTCAAATAAGTTTTCCATTTCTTGCTCTTCCTCTTCTCTTTCTGGCAACCCTATGATTCGGATGTTGGAACATTTAAAGATGTCCTGGAGGTTCCTAAGCCTCTCATTTTTTTTTAATTATTTCTTCATTCTGTTCTGGTTGGATGTTTATTTCTTCCTTCTGCTCCAAACTTGATTTGAGGTCAGTTTCCTTCCCGTCACTGTTGGTTCCCCGTACATTTTCCTTTATTTCATTTTTCATAGCCTTCATTTTTTCCTCTAATTTGTGACCATATTCAACCAATTCTGTGAGCACCCTGATTACCAGTGTTTTGAACTGTGCATTTGATAGGTTGGCTATCTTTTCATTAACTAGTTGTATTTTTTCTGGAGTGCTGATCTGTTCTTCCATTTGGGCCATTTCTGGGGGGGGCAGGGTCTCTGGACACCTGTTACGTGGTAAGGGGAGGAGCCTTAGGTGTTCACCAGGTCAGGGGAACCCACTTCGCTGCGTTGTGATGCTGTAATGCAAGAGAGGGGTCTGAGAGGAACCATGCCACTTGATCTGCTCTCTGCCGGTTTTCAGTCACTTCCCCTGCTACAATCAAATTGGGCCCTCTGGTGCTGATTCCCAGGTGGGTTGGCTTCTGTACATTCTAGGACCCTGTGGGTCTCTCCAACAGACTCTCCTGTGAGGATGGGAGTTTCACCTGCTACCGCCTCAACTCCCACAGGTGTTTTCAGTCAGAGGCTTTGAGGCTTTATTTCCCTGCACTGGAGCCCTGGGTTCTGAGGTCTATCTCGATCCCCAATAGTTCCTCCCTGTTTACCTGCACCTGAATGTGGGAATGCCCAGTCCACCAGCCGCAGCCTTGCTGCAAGTCCTCTCCACCGGGCTACCCATCTCTGCCCCTCCTACTGTCTCTGCCCCTCCTACTGGTCTAGATGAATGTTTCTTATTTAACCTCTTGGTTGTCAGACTTCCATACAGTTCAATTTTCTATCAGTTCTGTTTGTTTTTTGTTTTTAAATTTTTTGTTCTCCCTCTTTTGGTTGTGAGAGGAGGCACAGTGTATCTACCAACGCCTCCATCTTGGCCAGAAGTCCCAGCCTGGATTTTGAGTAATTTTCTAGATAACTGAAGTCAGGGAGTGGGGAACAGTATCTTAAAGACTGGATATTTCTAGTTCCTATTCAAAAGGAATGATCTTAGCAATAATAACAGTTCACACTTATATAGCACTTATTACATGCCAAGTACTAATTCTGAGTACTTTATAATGTATAACTCATTTAATCTCCCAACAATTTTATAGGGTATGTATCATCTCCTCACTTTATAGATAAGTAAAGGAGGCAAAAAGAGGTTAAATACCTTACCAACATGACATAGCTAATAAAATAGCAGACTGGGATTTAAATTCAGACTATTTTTGTCATTATTCTATATTGTTCCCCATCAGTTACTATTACTGGCAACTACAGAAAATCTTAATTGGGAATGTAACTCTGAAGACAATTCACAACAAAAATCAAGTTGTAAATAGTTTAAATTCTAAATGTAGAATTTAATTCATCAATTTCAATGTAGTGTGGGGCAAAAGTAGGTTTACAATTGTTTGTATGGAAAATAATAGTCATAAATAATAATAAAAGAACAAACTATGTTTTGGATACTCAAAACTAAACCTCCTTGTGTCTCACCCTGTATACAAATTTAATCTCATGCACTTATAATGATTTGATATTAAACAAGGCTTAAGCAAGCTTTATAGTCCTATTCACTAACACAAAGCAAACACAGAATTTTCATTCCACTTACTTGCTTCCACAAAAGCTTTCAAAGCTTCTAGCTGTTCTGCCCCAGATAACTGAATGGCTTTTTCCAGGATCTGACGATACCTAAAACAATAACAAATAAAAATAATGTTCAGAGGCTACTATATATTCTAATGTTAACTTTGATGTTTATTCATTTCTATTTACTCTGGCATCTTTCACAGTGCTCTCATTTTGTTTTTCTTTATAGTATAGCACAGATTTTTTTTTCTTTTTAAATTTTAGTCCATGACAAGAATCTAGTAAGTTACTGGATCTAAGATGCCACTTTTGCTTGTTTGTTTTGAATTAAAACTAAAAAGTCAATCTATGATTCTAAGATTCCAGTTCTTCTAGTTTGTTTTACCATATACCATAACTTTTAAAAAGTTTTCAAGCCCATCATGAGAAAAGATAAATGTATAAATTCCTAGACCCAAAATGCCACTTTTGCTTGAAAGCTGTAGTTTTGAATTTAAACTAAAAAGTCAATTTCTTTTCAAATGCCTTAAAAGATAAGCCATTATTTTCTTCAATTATATATTACACAGACACACAAGAACATTATTCAGGGAGACCCAGAACCCCTTCCTCTTGTGGACCTAATAAATCTAAGGGTCTAAACAAAAGAATAATGTCAACTAGGCAATGAAATTCAATATTAGAAATTGAATGTCTTAGTGTACAAAATAAACTCCACCAAGCCAAATACACTCATAGAACACCATTTATGCTGTCATTAGTGCCTATTAATTCTTTACTTGCATTCTGTTCTAATAACTATTCTGCCTAATATTCATGACCATATAAGATTCAAATTAGCACTTTTTTTTTATTTTATTTAAGTCATTGTTCAAGTACAGTTTTCTGCCTTTTATTTCCATTCCAGCCTACCTCTCTGAGATTTTGTCCATGTGTCCTTTATATTTGTCCCTGTAAACCCTTCCCATTCTCCCCTGAAATTCCCTCTTCTCTCCCCTTTGGTCACTGTCAGCCTATCCTCTATTTCAGTGTCTTTGACTATATTTTGCTTGTTTCTTTGTTTTGTTGTTTAGGTTCCTGTTAAAGGTAAGATCATATGGTATTTGTCTTTCACTGCCTGGCTTATTTCACTTAGCATAATGCTTTCCAGCTCCATCCATACTGTTGCAAAGGGTAGGAGCTCCTTCTTTCTTTCTGCTGCATAGAATTCCATTGTATAAAATGTACCATACTTTTTTGATCCATTCAATTACTGATGGACACTGAGGTTGTTTCCAGCACTTAGCTATTGTAAATTGTGCTGCTATGAACGTTGGGGTGCAAAGGTTCTTTTGGATTGGTGTTTCAGGTTTCTTAGGATATAGTGCCAGCAGTGGAATTGCTGGGTCAAAAGGCAGATCCATTTTTAGTTTTCTGAGGAAAAATTAGCATTCTTAAAAGGATGGAGGAAATGCTAAAAACAGAAACAACGTAACTATTAAGCAATGACAAATTCCTTCCTACAATAAAAATTCCATAAAAGCAAAAACTGTTCTTTGTTTTGATCACTGCTATATCTACAAAGCTTGCAACAGTACTTGACACATCATAAGCACCCAAATATTCAACAGTATTGGTAACATTTCATTGCTTTATTTCATTTTATTTGTTGGTAATTATTCAATTAAGTGGTTAAGTACATGACTACTATTTTTACTTCATCTGTATTAATCATAATACTTAATAAAAGCATTAGTTAATGCATTTTACAAACCTAATAGCATTGCAATTATTCAGAATGTCATCCAGAATAATTAAGAAATAAAAATTCACAAATAGGGTTCAAACTCATTCAAGTTTATGACTTGTATTTTGTAGGGCATATCCTCAAGCTACCATTCATCATTTACTGATTCTCAATTCACACAATATTGTTACAACCTTGACTATATGATTTTTCAAAACTACAATGAATAAAACTGACTTTGTAAGATAGCAGGTATACTGACAGAAAAGATAGCAAACTCCAAAACATATGAACTATTCTAAGAAAGCAAGGAAATACTGTTAAATTTTAAAATAAGAGCTGTTACTTTAAAAATTACTACATTTCCCTGGCTGGTGTAGCTCAGTGGATTGAGCGCGGGCTGCAAACCAAAGTGTCGCAGGTTCGATTCCCAGTCAGGGTACATGCCTGGGTTGCAGGCCATGACCCCTAGCAACCGCACATTGATGAGTGTGTGTGTCTCTCTCTCTTTCTCCCTCCCTTCCCTCTCTAAAAATAAATAAATAAAATCTTAAAAAAAATTACTACATTTGATGCATAAAATTCAGTTATCCATCTCATTCTCTAAACACACACACACACAATATTCTCCATATCTATATTTATACCCTTACTTTACTGCCCTGGGCACACTTTAAATTAATATAATCAATTTTTTATTTTTTTTTGATTGGCTAATTTTTTCTTTAATTTGAAGATTTTGTTTATTTATATTTAAGAGAGAAGTAAAGGGAAGAAGAAAGAGAGAGAAACATCAATTTGTGGTTGCCTCTCATGTGTCCCCTACTGGGGACCTGGCCAGCAACCCAGGCATGTGCCCTGACTGGGAACTGATCCAGCAACCCTCTGGTTTGCAGGCCGGTGCTCAATCCACTGAGCCACAAAAGCCAGGGCTGATTTGCTTATTTCTCATATTCAATTAAATCAGAGCTTATGGCTGAACTCTTATTCTTACATCCTCATAGATTATTTTGTACTAATAATATTATATTCAAAGATGACAATGCCTCACTTAGTGAAATTTGATGATTAACGTAAGTTTTAACACACAGTTTCATAACTCATAAAGCAACTAATGTGTAATAGGAATACACCAAAATAAATTTCAAAAGTGACCCTGGCAGAATGGTTCAGTTGGTTGAAGCATTCTCCTGGGCATGAAATGGGGGGAAGTTGGGCACATGGTTGGGATGTGTGTCATAGTGGGATCATGTTGCTCTCTCACATCCATGTTTCTCCCTCTCCCTCTTCCCCTTCTCTCTCTTTGTCATTCTCTCTCTCTCTCTCTCCACCCCCCCCAAGGAATCAGTAGGTATATACTCCAGTGAAAATTTAAAAAATAAAAATTAAAAATAAAGTGATAAAAAGCTTTATATCAACAAATTATATAATTTGCCAGGGTCTTCGAAATTGCCTACTCAAACTCTTGACTTTTATAGATTAAGATACAGAGCTGGGGCTACATGCTGACTTGCTCCTTCTCTATGTACACTCTAGTATGTAAGACCAGAACTTACTTTTTCACAATAAAAATAAGGAATGACTAATAAACCGATTTTACATAAGAGATTTAAATAGCCATTTAATATTGCTATAAAAAAATTACCCAAAAATGCTAATTGAGCACCTAGCCTTTTGAAGATGATATATGAGATTCTGTGTATGACATCAAAAATTTTAAATAACCTTAGTCTTTTAAGATCTTATAGCTCTTAATAAAAATAAAAAAACCAAATATGTCAAGTATTAAATTACAATAAAACAAAAACAGAAGTTACAATAAAACTGAATAGTGTAAGAAATATAAGGAGGCAATATTTTAATTCAAAAGAGAGTAAAACCAAAATGGGTTAGATTAGTCAGAGATGATTTTAAGAAAAATAATAATAGCTTTTTATTAAACACTCAGTATGTACTCAGTGGAAAAGATGGGAAAGCAATTGACATTAAGAACACGGCAAGTTCCAAATATTTTTTCCTTAAAAAATATTATAGAGGAAAATAAATTTCATTAATTAAGGTACCTTGCATCTGTCCTATCTCTTTATCAACAAATGTTTGTTGCCTTCCGACCAAGATGGAGGTGTAGGTAGACACACTGTGACTCCTCACACAACCAAAATAAGGACAACAATTTAGAAACAAAATAACAACCAGAACTCACAGAAAATTGAACTGTATGGAAGCCCGGCAACCAAGGAGTTAACATAGACACATTGATCCAGACCGGTAGGAGGGGGAGAGTCGGGCGGGTGGGTGGTGAGGGGTGGTGGCAAAAAAAGTGGTGGCACTGGGCACCCAAGGCAGCATCTGACAAACCCTGGGCACCCAAGTCCGCAGCAGGCGGACCCTGGGTGCACAGGTGGAGGCTGGCAGACCCCAGGCTCGGGGTGGCAACAGACAGACCAAGCAAGGTGGCAATTGTGAAGCAGGGCAAGGTGCACAAGGCAGCTGGCTGACCTCGTGGTCCCACATTCTTGCACAGATAAACCATGCAAAACTGGGGAGCAAGACAGACCATGCAACCCAGGGCTCCAGCGAGGGGGAAATAAAGCCTCAAAACACTGATTGAAAACACCTGTGGGGGTTGAGGTGCCGGGAGAGACTGCCAGCTTCACAGGAGAGTTCGTTGGAGAGACCTACAGGGTCCTAGAACGTACCCTAGCCAACCTACAGGGGAATCGGCACCAGAAGGGCCCAATTTTCTTATGGGTAGTGGGGGAAATGACTGAAAGCCAGCCCTGAGCCAAGCAAGTGCCATTGTTCCCTCTCAGACCCTACCCCCACATACAGCATCATAACCCAGCAACTGGGTTGCCCCACCTTGGTGAACACCAAAGGCTCCGCCTCTCACTATGTAACAGGTGGGACAAGACAAAAAAAAAATGGCCCAAGTGGAAGAACAGATCAAAGCTCCAGAGAAAATACAACTAAGTGACAAAGTGACAGCCAACCTATCAAATGCACAGTTCAAAGCACTGGTGATCAGGATGCTCACAGAATTGGTTGAATTTGGTCACAAATTAGATGAAAAACTGAAGGCTACACTAAGTGAACTGAAGGAAAATGCACAGGGAACCAATAGTGATGGGAAGAAAACTGGGACTCAGATCAATGGAGTGGACCAGAAGGAAGAAGGAAACAACCAAACAGAAAAGGATGAAGAAACAAGAATTCAAAAAAATGAGGAGTGGCTTAGGAACCTCCAGGACATCTTTAAACATTCCAACATCTGAATTATAGGGGTACCAGAAGGGGAAGAGGAAGAGCAACAAGTGGAAACATTATTTGAACAAATAATAAAGGAGAACTTCCTCAATCTAGCAAAGGAAATAGA